CACAATGAAATTAATAACTTAGAAGCTACGTTGGATGAACTTCATTTTTGGCCTTCTTTCTATTTGCACGCTGTCTTATTCAATAAGACAGACCCTTCTTACTATCAATAACTTATTCTTTTTCTTTCTTCTTTTATTATTTATTTTGAATCTTTTGGTTTTTGTTGGAAGAGTTGAGAGTAATGTTGAATTGAATAGGTATATACAAAAGGATAGCCTCGAAGTGATGGAGCCAAACAAGTCACACAATTTTCGATATTCATTTTAGTAATTTCTTTATTCATTGCAATTGAATGAAGAAGACCAAGTAATTCATTAAGAAAGTTAAATGTCATAGGAGGAATATCTTTGTAAATTTCATAAAATTGGAGGAATAAGTCATCTTCTTGTAAAGTATCTTTTTGTTTCCATAATTCGTATAATCTGTCATCAATGGACTTTGGAATAACTTGTTCTGGTAATGATTTAATATATAATTTCAATGCTCCAGCAACAGAATGAATATCAAAGTTAGTAAGACATTCAAACGTAATAATTTTTGTGTCGAGTTTTTCTACTACCTTTTGAATATGTTCCTTACTTCCAGACACTCTAAAGATACCTTCGATAGTAATAGCATATTTTTTGAGATATTGAATTAATAAACTAATATTTGGTGGTAATGTGATTATGTTATTTTCTGTGCTTAGTACTTCTAATGAAACACCTACTACTTTTATTATTTTTGTTGTTTTACTTTTACCACTTAGTCGATTGATAAACCCTTTTGAAAGAAATCCTTTAGACCGTGGAGATAATCCATTGTTTGGTGTTGATACAGGTTTTTGAATTAATGCCGTTAATGAACCTTGTGACTTCACTAAATCATTACTTGAACGATTTCTATCTCCACCAACTATAGTAATATGAGGTGGATTAAACATTATTAAAGAAGCATCATCTTTTCGAATGATAGTTCGTGGGACTGTAACATACCATGGCTGTAAATTTGTTAAATCATCAATCCACTTAACACACACATCCCGATCTTTAAAATCAATAGTAATGTTATCAAAACTGATGGTTGTTTCATTAATGAGAATAAGACGAGGTTTAGTTAAATAAATGACATGATCAATTTCTTTTGTTTCTTCTTTTCCAATAAAGAGAAAATTTTTTATTAGTTGAATACTTCGTGATTTTTTATTTGATGTGTCATATGACAATAAAACACTAACTCCATCAGTTATGCTAGGATCAGCTGAAAAGATACTAATATATAATCTGATGAGTTTTTTTTGAGAATAATCACTAAATTTTATTTGAAAAGTAGATAACAATCCAGATAACCAAACAAAGTTATCACCAATCATTCGATACTTTTCCATGTACTTCAATAATTCTTCCTGTAATTCAGGTGATGAAAATTTCTTTCTTGGACTTTTCAAAGAACGAGGTGTTGATGGAGTAGATTTACCATATAATTTGTTCATTCTTATTAAATTGAATTTAGACTTAACAAAGTGGTTTGCATTTTTTAGGTAAAACAAACAAAACACTGAATTCTCAACTTCATCCAAATATCCAAAAACTGAAAGTGTTGAGAGGTTTTGTTTATCTGCTTTTAGTCCAACAAATTGTTGGTTATTTCTACACACGTGAATTATACTGTTTTGATTGACCACAAAAAAAGATGAATAAATCAAACTCTTGGTTATCGTCTCTATGAGTAAGTCTCAATTCCATTACTTTTGGTCTTGTTCGACGTGGGGTTGCTAATGTAGGATTCATCACTAAAAAACAACTACTATCAATTTTTAAAAACTTTAAAAAGATTTTTTAAGGAGCTTCGACTTCTTTAAGAGTAACTTTTTATTTTTCACTTATTTCTCAACTTCTTTTTACATTTTGTTTTTCTCCATGTGAAGATCTAATAAAAATTCCTCTTTTGTTTTAAAAGATCAGTATTAATGTTATTTATTTCATAATTTTTAAAACGTTATATATAACAAAAGAAAAAATCAATAGAAAAAAAGAAAAAAAAAACTGTAAAAAACTAAAAAAGTTTTATATTTTTAAAACAATGAGAAGCATTTTAATTATATTATTTGTTGCAGTTGCAATGAGTTCAAACGTCACTGTTACTAATACAACAAAAATAGTTCCATCTAAAGTTAGTACAGGAGAGAAATGTGTAGGAGATGTTCCAGAAAGTGAGATACAACGAATTCAAAAGAGAATAACAGCATTAGAAGCACGAGTAGAACAATTCCAAAAAGTAGAAGTTGAGGTAGAAACTATGTTTAAGTCTGTTCAAGAAGAAGAAAAGAAGAAATTAAATGAAACAGATAAAAACACACTTTATAGTGTTAAAATCAACTTATATCAAAAAAGAGTTAAAATAGTCAAAATGATAGTTAAATTGTTAAAAATGATTAAAAAGACAGCAGAAATTTTACCTAAAAGTATGAGTAAACAAATTATTAATAAACTTGCAATAAAAGAAAGAATTAATCGATGTGAAAAAGAAATTAATATATTAAAGTTACAAGCACAAAAAGATAAGAAAATGCTCGTTTTTGAAACAAAGAAAGTTACTCGTATGACTAGAAAAATGAGAAAAAATCCAAAGGAAATTGAGAAGATTGTAACAGAATTAGTTATCAAAGAACTTAACAATGAAAAGAAAAGACAATCACTTAAAAAAAATGCTAAAAAAATTGCTAAAAAAACATCTTCTACTCAAGAAAAACAAATGAAAAAAATTGCTAAAAAAATACTTTTAAAAATATGAAGTAATTAAATCTAATTGAATCAACTTTTTTTATTTATTTTTGTCAATACTAAATTATTACTATAATAAACAGAGTATTACTACAATATATTTAGTTTGATGCAATTACTCTTAATATAATAAATAATGAATGTTTTATAATGATATACATTATAAGATATAAGGTATAATTTGAAAAAAAAACTATAATTATTCTAGTAATTAAATAGTATTGTATTATATTTAGTTAATTTGTTATTTGCTATTTTGAATGATAATATATTATTTCATTTCAATATTTCTTATCTTTATTTATCATATTATTCAACATTCATTTTTATATTACTCATATATTATTCAATCATTTGATTTAGTAGTATTTATTCAATTAAAAATCAAATCAGAATGAACAATATGAATTTAATTAATAAAATACAATTTCACCACTCATCATTTCAAATCGTAAGTCATTCTTGAATATGAGATTATGAAATAGACAAAATACATTTGAATAACAATAAATGATGATGTATAATTTAATTGATACAATTAACAATTCATATTATCCTTCTCATTTCAATAAATAATGAACAAGTATAAATAATGAGAATTAGTAACTAATCACATGAAAAACATTATAAAAACAATATATTCATTTGTTACTAATAAATCAATTAACTAATTAATATTATAAACACTCTGTACTATGACTATCATATTGTACAATGTATAAATCAGAAAAAAAATGTATGAAAGTAATTGTTAATTTAGAATATACAACAAAAATAAACAATGAAAATAAATGAAGTAATATCATCTCATAATTTCATCAGTTAACACTACCAGAACAACAAAACAAAGTAATTAACAAACATGAAATAGAATAAATAAAAGTTGAAATGATAAATAACTACTTTTTAATATACAACTTCAAATAAACATAAATAAAGAATAAGAAAAAGTAGAAAAAGAAGATAATTAACTCATTATTTCAAGTTATATATTATATTTATTATATTAACATTAATAAGATTTTTACAACTTCTGTATAATAAAAAATAAAAATAAAAAATATTAAATATTTGAAAATTTCAATCTACGTTTTTAAAGTTCATCTTTTTCATATTCTTCATAATTTCCATATTGTTGGTTATTGTCATAACCTGGAGCTTGTTGTTGAGCTCCTCCACCATATTTAGCGAGAATTGGTTGTGCGATTTGTTCTAATTGTTTATATTTATCATCACATTCTTCTTTTGTAGGAGTTGCGTTATTTTCAAGGAATGAAGTAACGTCTTGAACAGCGTCAAGTAATACTTTCTTGTCACCTTCTTCTATTTTTCCTCCAAGTTTTTCATTATCATTTACAGTATTCTTAATTTGATAAGCATAATTTTCTAATTGATTTTTAGCTTCAACTTGTTCTTTAAGTTTCTTATCATCTTCTGCTCTTTCTTCTGCTTCTTTAATCATTCTTTCAATTTCTTCTTCAGTTAATCTACCTTTCTCAGATGTGATTGTGATTTTCTCACTTTTTCCTGATTTCTTATCTTCGGCAGATACGGTTAAAATACCATTGACATCAACTTCAAATGTAACTTCAATTTGTGGAACTCCACGTGGTGCTGGTTGAATTCCATCTAAATCGAATTTTCCAAGGAAATGATTATCTTTAGTCATTGTACGTTCACCTTCAAAAACTTGAATAGTAACAGATGGTTGATTGTCTTGATATGTAGAGAATGTTTGTGATTTTGAAATTGGAATATGAGTATTTCTTTTAATTAATGAAGTCATTACACCTCCAACAGTTTCAATACCAAGTGTTAATGGAGTAGTATCTAATAAAACAATATCTTCAGTTCCTTTAATATTACTTAAAACACCTCCTTGAACTGCAGCTCCATAAGCAACAGCTTCATCTGGATTAATTCCACGAGATGGTTCTTTTCCATTAAAGAATTCTTTAAGTAATTGTTGAACTTTAGGAATACGAGTAGAACCACCAACCAATACAACTTCATGAATACTACCTTTTGACATTCCAGAATCTTCAAGTACTTTTTTGACTGGAGCAATTGTTGATTTAAATAATTCAAGATTTAATTCTTCGAATTTAGCTCTAGTTAATGTAAATGAGAAATCTATTCCATCAGCTAAATTTTCAATTTCAATTCTATCTTGTTGTTGTACAGATAATGCTCTCTTTGCTCTTTCAGCTTCTCTTCTTAATCTTGTAATAGCACGTTTATCGTTTCTAAGATCTTTTCCATATTTTCTCTTAAAAACGTCAACAAGATATTCTGTTACCTTTTGATCGAAATCACTTCCTCCAAGATGGGTATTTCCTGATGTAGAAATAACATCAAAAACGTTGTCTTCAATATTTAATAATGATACATCAAATGTTCCTCCTCCAAGATCAAATACAAGAATATTCTTTTCTCCTCCTACTTTATTTAATCCATAAGCCATAGCAGCTGCTGTTGGTTCATTTAATATTCTTAATACATTTAATCCTGCAATTTTACCTGCATCTTTAGTTGCTTGTCTTTGGGCATCATTGAAATATGCTGGAACAGTAATTACAGCATGTTTAACTTCTTTTCCAAGATATGTAGAAGCAGTATCTGCCATTTTCTTAATAACCATAGCACTAATTTCTTCTGGTGAATATTCTTTTCTTTCTCCTTTATATTTAACTTCAATAAATGGTTTATTGTTCTTATTAATAATTTTGTATGGGAATAATTTCAAATCTCTTTGAACTTCTTTGTCATCAAATGTTCTTCCAATAAGTCTTTTGATTTCAAAGATTGTATTTTCTGGATTTTGTGCAATTTGATTCTTTGCTGCTTCACCAACTAAAATTTCTGTGTCTGTAAATGCAACTACTGATGGTGTAATTCTATTACCTTGGTCGTTGACAATAATTTCTACTCCTTTACCTTCTCCATTGTAAATACCAACAGCAGAGAAAGTAGTACCAAGATCGATACCTATAACTGGTCCATCGACTTTGTCTTCTTGTTTAGTGTCTTCTGAAAAGACAGTAATACAGAATAATAATGTGAATAAGAAAGTTAACATTCTGTTTCAATCAGTTCTTTCGTTTAGTTTATATATTTCTTTCCACGTGGTGATTTCTGGGACTAAAAATATAAAATGTTACTTATATCCACTTTGTTTACCAGGTTTTTTTTGTTAGAAGAGAAAAATGAATACGTGGTGTTTCAGAAGATACAATCTGAAAGAGGTTCTGTTACAACAAAAAATGTTATTTGAAAGAGGATAATGTGATTCATCTTAAAAACACTGAATAAAAAAATAAAAAAATAAAAAATGAGATTAAATGGAAGAAAAACTTGTGAGAACACATGATACTCATATCTCAAAGGAAATTGCAAATAAAATTCAACAAACAGGAACATTATCACTAATCAAGAAACCTGAGATTCTTCCAACAAAAGAATATATAAAATATACTCCTATTCAAAGAGGAAAAAATCCTCCTGAACAAAGAATAATTGAAATTGTTGATGAAAAAGTCGATCCTTTAGACGTTCCTAAGTTTAGGTACAAGAAAGTTGCACCAAGACAAGTTAGTGAACCAGTCCCTATCCTTCATGACCCACCTAAAAAATTAACAAAACAACAAATGGATGAGTTTAATATTCCTCCATGTATTTCAAATTGGAAAAATAACCGAGGATATACCATTTCTTTGGATAAGCGTGTAGCTGTTGATAGAAGAAATCTCCAAAAAGATGAAATTAATGAACGTCATGCTGAATTTGCTGAAGCCCTTTATCTTGCTGAAAAAGCAGCACAAGAAGAAAATGAAAAGAAAAATGAAATGAAGAAGAGAATTGAAATGGCAAAGAAAGAAAGAAATGAAGAAGAAATGAGACAACTTGCTTTGGCTATGAGAAAATTAAGAGATGAAGAAGAAGATGACCAATTTGATGAAGAAAAAGAAAAAAGGGAGAGAGCTCGAGATGAAAGAAGAAGAGAAAGAGAAGAGTTTTATAGAAAGGCTGGGCTTAAAGGACTTGAAAAAGAAATGGAAAGAGAAAAAAGAAGAGATGTCACAGAGTCAATTGCTTTGGGTAAAAAAATTGATTCTAAAGATTTAATGTTTGATCAAAGATTATTTAACCAAGGAGATGGGTTAAATTCTGGTTTTGGAGAAGAAGATGAATATAACGTGTATGATGAAGTTCTTTTTAAAGCAGCTCCAAACCAACAATATAAGCCAAAAGAATTAACAGATGAATAACAAAAATTATTATTTGATTGTTTTGTGTTTTTTCATTTATTAAATTTCTGAATTTTAAAATTAAATGAAAGAATTATCCTAAATTAGTTTTAAAATAGACAAAAATAAGAATGTAAATTTAATATTTTTAATGATATAATGAAATGATCAATTTGTTTGTATTTTGTATTAAAGTTACTTCTATTTGATAAGAATTATATCAGTATTTAAATTTAATATTACTTTTATTTTTTCTTTCTTCTTAGTTCATATCTCTCTTTACTTCTTCCTTCAATTCTTCTTCCTGATATTTTTTCCTTTTTGTTTCAGTTATTTTCTATTCGAGTATTATTTTTATTAATGCCTTTTGTTAAGTGTTTGAATGTAATCATATTTTGTATTAATTCAATCAAATAAATAATTGAATAGTATTGTTGGACACATTACCTGCGCTCTTATAGTTTATTTAACATTTATAATTTCTTTATATAATAACTGAAAATTTTGTAAATAAACATTTCATTTATGTTCCAAATCATTAATTTATTTATGTTTGCTCTGGCTTACTTTTGTTAATCTTTTATAATTTGTTATTTTCTTTATTTTTATAACCAAATAATAAATTAGATTCATTACAAGAATATGAACTTCTCAAAATAAATAATAGATAATCACCATATACCAAAAAAAATAATATACAACAGTAATAATTGAAAATATATTTTTTACCTTTATTCATAGTAATAAAATAATATTATCATAACTATCATTATATTAAATGTACTTATTTTCAAGCTAGCTACTATTAAATAAATAGAATTTATAAATGTCACCATTTGAAAAAAAAATAAATAATATCAAAAATTAGAATAAGACTGTTAAAACGATGAAAATCATTGAAGAAAAATTGGGTATATAAAAAAGAAAAAAAGATAAACAATTAAAACAATATAGTTTAAGTTTATTCATTTAAATAGTAAAATGTATAATTAGTATTACTATGCTATAATTTATATTATTGAATAGATAATAAAATAAATAATAAGTAATTAACATTGATATAAAAATGTAATTGTTGTTTATTTTGTTTTAAGATGTTATGAAATTATTATGAAAAGATATGACATTAATAAATAACATAAATATATGAGAAATGAATTATAAAATATGAAATAATATGATATTTCTCTTATTATTATAATTGGATTAACATTAAAATATACTATCATCTGTTAATTATTATAATTGATGAATTTACAAATAACTTCAGATGATATATAATAATTAATAACCATTTGAATAAATAAAATACAACCAATACATATAATGTCATCTTATAATCTTGATATTTAAAATAATATATAATAATAAACATTAAGAAAATAAAAATAAAATACATCTAAAGTAATAAACTAGTTTATTTAAAATAATCATAATACTCTAATTATTATACTCTATCATTTATCTTTTAATGTAAATCAAATTAATTGCTACTAAATTATTTTTAATTAAAAAACAATAAATAAATAAAATTTGTAATATATAACCAAGTCATTAAAATACTTATATTATTATTCTTCATTTCTTTCTCTTTCTTTTTGGTGTCTTTTTTTATCTGACTGATATTGGAAAGGATTAAATTTTTTATCTTCTACTTTAAATGCATTCTTCATATTTCTTCTAAGTTTTCTTTCTTTTGGTTTATCTAAATTAATATCATATTGGTCTAATTTACTGATATGAGTTTCTTTTTCTTTATCAATAGCACCAACCTTATTTCTTAAAACATTCTTTCTTATTTCTTCAGTCTCATCATCCCACCCTTCCACACGTTCACTATAATTTAAACCAAATGGGATTTTTCTTAAATCAAATGTTTCAATACCTTTTCTTTCTTTGATTGGTTTTCCAGTAATGTCTAATTTCTTTTGTTGCTTTTCATCTTTTTTACGGATAGTGATCATTGGAATTGGATCATTTTCTACTTGTTTCTCTTTAAACTTTTGTTCCATTTCTTCTGAAGTAATTTTTCCACCACTTAGATCATTATTTTGAGGTTCTTCAGGTTTTCTTTTGATTGGTTGATATTTTTGATTTATGAGTTGATGAATTGATTTAATTCTTGAAGACTTGAATATGTTATTGATAAAAACAGTTTCTTCTTTTATTTCAGTTGGTTTATCATTTTGTTCATTTTCTTTCATAACAATAGTATTCAATTTTTCTAAGTTATTATTTTCAATTGCTCCTCTTTTTATTTCTTTTGTTGTACTAACTTTCTCTTCTGATTTAGAATAGAATAGCATGTAAGCCTCTTCTTGTAAGACTACTTTAATTGAAACAGGTTTAACTTCTTCATCATCAAATCTAAACCAACCACCACTTGGTGTTTTACAATAAGAAATATAATGACCACTAAATTTTGTTTTTCCAAGATGAACCACAATTGCATAAAGATCATATAATCCATCCATTCCATATTTTGAAATATTAAGTTGTAAAGGAAAAGCTACTTTTCCATTAATTTTCTTTTCATCCCAAGTAAATCTTTTTAGTTGAATTGGTAATATCCAAGGTAATCTTTTAAAGAAATAATATTTACTAACATTTGATTTTGTATTACACTTTTCACAATGATAATGAGAAATCATTTCTTTTTTAAAGAATTGATCAAATCCACTTTCAAGTGTTTTTTGTTTTGTTATTTCAATAGGTAATACAGAAAAATGTTCATCATGATCATTAAATCTTGTACAATTATAACATGTAATTCGTGAGACTAATTCAACATGAAATATACTACTAATAGCTGATATTTTATTTTTTCCTTTTCCAATTATTGCTTCATGAAGATGATCAAGTAATAATAAATAAAATTCTGTAGCATCTTCTTGTTGATATCTTTGTAATGATGAAGATAATTTTTTCAAATTTTTTTCAAATACTATTGGTTTTAATGGTTGATTATTTTTTTCAAACGCTTCTTTCATTATTCGTTCTAATTCTTTAAAAAATATATCATCTACTTTAATCTTTTGTTGTGTCATATAATTATAAAATGGTGCTGTATGAGTTAATACTTGTAATACACTAATCATATAACAATTACTATGTGCATTAAAATATCCTCTCCCTGCATTCCTACCATTTTTTAATTTCCATTTCATTAATTCTTCAGCATCATCATAATCAACATCTATCCTATTATCAATACTAATTGTTTTCTTTGCTGTTGGATTTATTGTTTCTGTTTTAATAAATTTCAGTTTTTTTGGAAGAAATTCATTAATTTGACGTTGAATTTGTTGTTCAACATCTAAAGACATTTCCTGTGTGATTTAATGAATTTTAAAAACCCTAAAACTAAACTTTTCTTCATTTAAATAATCAAAAAATAATTTATTCATTTAAAAGATATATTCTTATTATTTCTTTAACTTTATGAAAGTAAATCATTCAATAAAAATATATTATTTCACTTATCTATTATCATCAATATGATTTTTTTTTAAATAAAAAATCAATCAATTAGATGTTTTAATGCTCTTCTTCTTCCATTTTTTCTTTCATTTCTTCAGTTAATTGTTTTTGACAATCCAAATCAGTTGGCATTTTTAATAATTCTCTGAATAACATAGTGGCATAAGCAGAAGGTTCTAATTGGAACTTAATCCAAAGTCCAATTCTATCACCACTTTGGTAATCGCTTCTAAGATATCCTCTTTCATCAAGAAGGTCTTGACCAACATTTCCATAATGAACAATCTGATACTCAACTCCTTTTGGTTGAATGACAATTTTTCTCTGATCTCCAGTTATTGCAACGTTATAAATTCTAGTTGGGAAAGTATCGAGTGTAAACCCATCTTTAGAAAGTACTTCATCAAAGAAATTTTTTATTTCATTTTTTGGCATTGTAACTCTATGTGCAGGAAGTGGGATAATAACCTGATGCAAACAAATTGAAGGTAATAATTCCTCAGTAACAAAATCAATTGTTCCTTGTTTTGTTTCATACAAATCACCTACTAATACTACATTACCATATTTTTCAAATCTCTTAGAAACAACTTGATTCCACACATAACTTTGGTATGCATGAAGATACAATGATTTAGTTTTATAAACAACTGCATTATCAATTGCAGTTTTAAACATTCCATTACTTATACTGACTCCAAGTTTAACTTGTTTATATAATGCTTGCATAAGAGCTTTTTCAATATTTCTTTTAATTGGAATGACTTCATATGCTAACTTATATTGTTGTTCTTTATAATATTTTTTTCCTTGTGCAACACTAAAAGTATCATTTCCTTCTTTCATCATTAAATCAGCAGCTTCTTGATATTCTTCTTTTAACAATGCTTTTCCAATTAAATGTGTTGTACCACAACTACCAAATCGTTGTAGTCCAAAATAGTTAATATATCCAAACTCTTTAATACTTTCACAATTTTTAAGAATTTCATCAACATTATCAACTTCTCTAATAATAACTCTAAATTCATTTCCAAGTAAATCTCCTAATTTAATCATATGATCTACATGTTCAAATGGACTTAAAGTAATTCCATTACATATACTTTTTTTTAAATTCTCTTCAATTAATTCTTGTTTAACTCCAGGAATAGTAATATACTGGCATGTAACTCCTCTTTTATCTTTCATTCCAGCAAAACAAATAGCATTTTTACCTAAATTCAATGCTTTTGAAATACGAAGAATAGCATCACTTGTATCAATATTAGATTTCCTTAAAACACATTTTAAAATAGAATTTTTTTCTCTTCCTCCACGCATTTTTTTTGCACCTTTTTTTAATACAAGAACTCCATTATCACATGTTGAATCATAATTTGGAAGTTCTTTAACAATCATATGAAACTCTGTTCTTTCTTTTTTATTTAATGGTTTTTTAATTTCAATTAAATTTACTTTCTCATCAAAAATTTTGGGAGCTATTTCATCTACTTCTGCTCCAATAACCAATCTCATTTTATTAATCCATTCTTCTTTATTAAACATTTCTTCTGTTTTTTCTTCTGTAATTTTTGTAACACCTCTCACATTTTCTCTATCAATAATATCTGCTACAGAATTATCTAATCCAATTTCACGTACTTGAAAATCACTCACAAGATGTTTTGTTAATCCATTAATACTTTTTCCTTTTCTAACAAAAGATGTTATACCCATATCTACCTCTTTTGGTTTTTCAATAACATTAACTATTTCTTCTTTTTCATGTCTTTTACTTTGTTCTTTTCTTTTTTCTTTCATTTCTTTTTCTTCTTCTCTTTTTACATCATTTTTCTTTTCATTATTTTTTGAGTAATCTATTATTCTAACAGCAGAATGGTCAGTTGGCTGTGTAGAAATACTTTGAACCATAGAAATTTTCTTGATTTTTTGAATTGGCTTCTGATCTCCTCTTTTCATAATAAAACATTAGATCTAACAACCCTATTTTGTTTTCTATTAAATTTCTTTTTTGAGTTTTTAAAATACACTTTCTTCTATTTTTTATTGTTGTCTCTTTATCTTAATTTAATGCATTAGAAAATTACAAATGAAGAGACACATCATATTTAAGAAAGTGTCTTATAAAAAAATAAAAACACGAAAGCGATGAAGCGAAGAAATGAAGAAAAAAATCAACGGGTTATGAAACTTGAAAATGAATTTAATGCTTCCTTTGAGGAAGTTACAAAAGATAGTGAAGAAACACGATTTGATCAACGTGCTTTAAAAATGTTAGATATTTTTCACGAAATTAAAAAACATGTTATTACAAAAGTAATAGATCATTGTATTGATTTAGGAAGAGATACATTATGTGAAAAATGGATTGGTATTGGTGCTAAGATAATTGGAAATGATAAAGACTTTATATGTAAATCTCTTACGTATTTAGAAGAAAGAGGAAAATTTACAAAAATAGGCAAATTATTTGATGATTGTGCAGAAAAATGTGATGATGAAACTATTTGTATTAAAGCAATTCAATGGTATGAAAAAATTCATGCATTTGATAAAGCACGAAAATTATTGGAAGTTAAAATAAAAGGAAAAAATGTGAATTTAGTATGGAAAATTATATTTGAAGGATTAATGTTTGAAGCTCGTGTTGGTTCTTTGAATGTAGCCCTTAATGGTATGAATGTTTTGGTTAATAAAAAGTTAACGGGAACAGCTATCGCACCAATGTTATATGAACATGCGTTGATGTACCATAAATTATTGAACGAAAACAAATGTTATGAGTTATGTGAAAAAGGATTGTCTTCTTTTCCAAAATATATTCATTTATTAATATTATTAATACGAACTAGGAGTAGGATTACCAACTTAAGAATTAATAAAATTATTAAAAAGAATAGTTTAATTTGTTCTTCAGTTAATTCTCCTAGAAGTCCATTAACCAATGTTAGTTTTGAAAATGAAGAACAATCAGGTAATTCTCTAGAAATAATCAATAGTTATAAAAGGAAAAAAGAAATTGAAGAAGAGGTATTAGAAAATACTATAGTAGATGCGATTCATGAAGTGGTATTAGAATTTAAAGGTGATTTACAAAAAATTGTAAATAAACACATTGGGAGTTTGAGTGCTGATGTTCAGTGGAAAGTTTATCTTGAAGTTGCACTAACAGCATGTGATTATGGATGGGATGATATGGCAATAGAACAATTTGAAATTTGTTTAAAATCTTCTCCACTTAATACAATATGGAAAAGTTATGTTTTAATGGCACGTCATTTTATGAATAAAGATATAAATAAATCATTGAAATATTTAAAAGAAGCACAACAACTTGTTGGAGAAAAACAAGTTGGAATTGTACTAATGGAAAAAGCACATATTGAAGAGGTTATTAAAGATGAAAATAACGCAGTTAAAAAAGCATATGAAATTATAGAAGTAATTGATGATTGGAAATATTCTATTGAAGCTATTATGATTCTTGTTCGTTGTAATAAGGTTAAACAAGGATATGATATATGTAAATCTGTTGTTGGACAATTTCCATCAACAGGAAGAGTATGGGGACTATTTGTTATGTTATCTCAAATTGAAGGAATTCAAAAACAAGAAAAATCTCTTGAACTTGCATTGAGAAATGCACCTAAATCTGGAGAGGTATGGTGTGAAGGTGCAAGAATGGCAATGAAACAAGGTAATTTTTATTTGTCATTATTATTTCTCAAATATGCCCAATTATTTACTCCTCAATATGGGGATATTTATATAGAATTTCTTAAATTAGTAATTCTTACTAAACAATGGTCAATGTTAAAGAATATAATTTTGTCATGTGTTCACTCTGAACCAAATTATGGATTGTTATGGACATTCTATAAAGAAGAAGAGACATCCCCAATCAAAATATTAAAAAATGCATTTAAAAATCTCAGAAAATCATACCAACAAAATATTTTTATTAATCCATTAGATATTTACAAGAGATGTAAAAAATACCCCCAAAAAACAAGAGTTAGAATGATTCTTGGGTCTGAGCTTTTTAAAGCTTGAATTTATAAAATTGTATTTAATTGTAATATTAGTATTTATAAATTGTTTATTGGTTTTTATGTTGTTGATTTATAAAAAAGAAAAACAGAAATATTTGAAGTATTACATAATTATCATATCAGAATAGATGTAATCATCTTCAAAAATCATCATCATCTCCTCTTTTTTGTGAGTTTAATAAGAAATTAGTATATGTATTACTATCAAAATAATTATCTGGGATATGTTTTTGTTCAAAGTATGTACTTTTTTCTTCATTCCTTGGAATGATGACTTCAGTCACATAATTTAAGAACAAATCATTATCTATAAAATTAATATTATTTTGTTAGTTAATAAATTCAAACTAAAACTTTGTTCTAACATTCATAGAATAAAAACAAACTAATAGATGCTGAAAACTTAGAAGAGGTTAACTCTCTATTATTATAAATATCGAACATCAAAGTCGAATTAATAAGATAATAGTCTGGATAATAATGATATTGATGATGAAATTCAATTGCTCTTTTGTCAAATTCAACACTTTTTTCTAAAAATTTATTATCTCTTAATAATTGATATTTAATTTCTGTTACTGGTCTTTGAACAATGGTATTAATAATATCATAAACAATTTGTCTGAAAATAGTACATTGATGCCTTTCATCATAGAAAATATCCAATAAAGATTGGATAAATCCGAATTCATCAACTAATTTATAAATTACAGAATAATTAGATAATAATAATGAAAGAACAATAAAACTAAGTTTAATTTTTGTTTGTCCAACCTGACCATTATTACTTTCTGTTGAAGTTGTTAATAATCGTTTGATACTATCAAAATGTTTAACAAGATTTTTATATATAGCAGGTAATCCTCCAATAGGTATTGTACATAATTCACTTCTTGAAGTATTTGAGGCTAACATATCGCTAATAATTAATAACCCATTTTCTTGAACTGTTTTAATTGTGGTAGAAAATACACAATAAATAAATTGTTCTAAATTTTTATCAATATTAAAGAAATCTACAAAAATATTAGCTGCTGCACCAATTTGATGACTATGACGCCAAATAACAATTTCATCAATAATTCTTGCTGCACTTTCAACTTTATCAATAGAAATATTTTCTTCTAGGAATGAGTTTAATAACATAGTAATAAATCCATGTTCACAAAACCATTGAATACTTCTACTATTCATATGAAAAACATCTAACTTTAACAAAGCTATAATATAATCACAGACACTATAACTTTCCATATATGAAATTAACCCTTCTAAAAATCCATCAACTGCTTGAACTAATACAAACTCCTATTTAATTAATATTTTTCTTTCTTACCAAAAAAAATACCTTTAAATGGTTCAATAATAATAATAGTGAAACAAAATTGATTTTGAGTACTTAATGTTGTTATAAGAAAAGTGACATAGAAACAAACTTTTGATTGAATAGGAATTAATAACGATGAAAGAACTTTGCATAACAAATCTAATGTCATTCCTGAAAGTCTTTTATTTTTAATTGTTAATTGTTTTAACATATATAACCCAGTTTGATCATCAAGAAATACTGCATCAACAACACATCCAATCCCTGAAGAAAGTACAGCACCTGATAATATTTGATGTTTTACTTGTCCATAACCACAAACAAAACTAACCATTTTATGTATATTTGCTTGAGAACAAATACTAAAACCAATAAGTGTTTTTGGTGTTCTGAAAAAAAAAACAAAAATAAGAAAGAGAAAGTGACAAACTATTGTTGAAGGTCATTATTTGTTCTGAGTTCAGTTAAAAGATCAGGTTGGTCAAGAACTTCTTCTAGAGCAGCATTCATACGAACAAGTTGTGTAAAAGGTGATTCACCCAATGGTTTCCAATTAGGCATCAACATACTCATGATCTTGATAATTGATTATAAGTAAATTTTTTTCTTTTTTTTCTCACTTTCTATTTTTCCATCTTTAACTGTTCTTTCAAAATAAAAAAATCTTGTAATCAAAATATCTTCTTTTAAACGTAAATAAATTTTATTAAGAAAAAAAAAATAAATTGTAGTTATAAAAAAAAAATTTAATTAAAAACAATATTATGTTAATGGTAACTTGGTTCATCCACAAAAATTTATCTTGTTGAATGTGGTGGTATATATGATGAATTCATTGAAACAATATTCTTAAGTATTTTATTTCTTTCTTCAGATTGTTTTCTAATATTTTCCACTGTTTCTATTAGTTGAGACGCTAAAAGGTCATTAGTTTCATCGGTTTCATCAGAAAACTCATCATCTTCAAAATCAAATACTTCTTCATTAAAATCTGATTCTTCTTCTTCCATTGGTATATCACCAAATTCAAGGGTTTGTCCTTGTTGTGTATTTAATGGTTCAGGTGAAAGAGTTTTCAATCGACTGAATAATGTATTTGGTGCAGAAAAGAAATTTTGTGTAACTCGAGGACAATTCATAGTAAGATTCTCAGAAATAAAGAATTGAGGGTGATATGTAAATGATGTGGTGTTCATTTCAGTGGTGATTAGTTTAGATGAAAGTTTTACTACCTTTTTGACTCTTCACCTCATTCAGGTAGAACTTCTTTCTAAGTCATTACATGAATATCGAACTTCCACATCATATTGACTTTTCATTTCACGCATTATCATATTTTTTGATTCTTCATCTTTTTATTGATATTTCCTGGTTTTTACGAGACTAAAGCTTAATTTTTCTGAAAGACCTTTTTTGAAGAATAAAGGAATTTTAGAGGTCTGTTGAATTATTCTCGGAAAAGTCATTTTGTTATTTTATTATAGTTTCTTTATATTATAGTTTTGTAATAGTATAACTCTCAAAAATAACAACAGAATAATTTAGATAAATAAAGAATTTTATTAGGTAGTCTTCTTTTCAAGTTTCGGGAACAAAAAGAATGAAGAACAAAATGGAATTTAAAAAGAATAATCTCTATTTTTAAAAATATTTCAACAGTATTTTTTTGTCGTTTTACTAAAAAAAGAAAAAAGAATTAAAATTTGTTAAAAAAAACACAAAGTTCAATATTATTGTTGTATTAAAGAAACAACTTTATTTGAATAACATAAATTATTAAAGTCATTGAGTTATAAAAATTGTTATAAGAGAAAATACCAAATAAATACCAAATATATAACAAATAATAAATAAATGAAATGTATTTGTAGTTAAAATAGTTGTTAATTTGTATAATTTTTTTGTATTAATCTCTAACATTTTAAAATACATAAAAATTCGTTTAAACAGAGGAAAAAAATATTTTATTTACAAAGAAGTGATATTTACACCAATTTCAATGAGAAATATAAACAATACAAATGAGTTGAATTAAAGAAAAAAAAAACTAATGACTTTTATTTAAAATAATTGGAATTATACAAGAATTGATAAAAAAAAGAATTATATTATTAAAAAACGAATGATTGTGTTTTTTCCTTACCAAAAAAAAAAAAACATAAAATAACATTTAAGAATTGTTTAGTTCATTTTTACACGAAATAAAATGATAAATTAAGACATAATAATTAAAAAGAATTAATTGAAAACCATCAAAAAAAAAAAAAAAGAAATAAAAAGAAAATACAATCATTCGTCTTAAAATAGCGTTTTCATTTAAGAGTTTGTTTAGTTCAAATAATTTGTTTTGAAAGAGTAAAAATATTATTTCCTATATACTAAAAGTATTGAAAAATAAAATGAGGAAAGAATAAAAAGAAATACAAATCAAAAAGAAAAACAGAAATAGGTATTTAGAAAGAAAAGAGCTATAATTATATTCAATTAACAAAAATAGTAGAAGGAAAAGAATTATAAAAGAAAGACTAACTGAAGTAATATTAAAAATGTGCTATTAAAAACGATTTAATACTACAAAGATAATATTGAGAAACAGAAACGTCAATGAAACAAAGTTTCACATTAAAGAAGTAAAAATTCTAAACTATTCTATAGAACAAAAGAGTAGTTTTAAAAATACGTGGAACTTCGTGGAGAAAAAAAGAATCAATTTATTTAAAGAGATAATAAACTAGAAATAATCACTAATATTTAATTAATGTCTTGTCCATTTGGTGATAAATGCCCAATTAAACCATTCTTTACTAAAGTATTAGAACAAGCTAAAGATGCTATTCAAGGACCATTTGTTGTTCCAAGTAATGCAGATGAAATTAAATCTACTTATGAAAAAAATATTAAAAAATATAATGAACTTTATTTATTCCTTAATGGTTCATTAGTTTTCATTGGATCACTTTTAGCACATCCTCTTGCTGGAATTTTAGTTCTTGGTGTTTATGTTGCTCTTGTATTTACTTGGGATAAATATATTAGTAAATATGTTGATAAATATTTCAAAGACTTTAAGATTCCTTATAGCACTATTCCAATCCTTCTTTTCCCATTATTCTTCTTCTTTGCTTTACTTGGTGAATGTACAATTGCATTCATTTGCTTCAATTTCCTTGCTGTTCTTGTAGTTGTTGCTCATTCTTTCACTCAAAGATTCGGACAAACTGTTGAAAAGAAAAGTCCTAAAGAAACACCAGTAGTTTCATCAAAGAAAGAAGAGAAGAAAGAAAAGAAATCAAAATCATCATCTTCCTCTTCATCATCATCATCTGATGAAAAACATTAATTTCAACATTTTGATTTATATTTTTATTATTTTCTTTTGAAGAATAAAAAAAAAAGATAAAGAAAAAGGTGTATTTATTTTTATTTTCATGAGTGTAATATGGGAAGAACCTATTTATCGTTTTGTTGTTGGTCCTCATAAAGGAAATGGTGGTGCAATTTGTGGAAATGATGGTGGTGTTTGGGGAAGATCAGAAACATTAGACATATCTTTTGAAGAAGCAAGAGCATGTTCTAGAATTTTTTATCATCCAACTACTGCACTTCCATTTTCATTAAGTGGTGTTTCATTTGAAGTTAAATCAATAAGTGAAGATGAAACAGTCAATTGGATAACAGCAAAATCACCAAAATATAAATGTGGATGTACATTAGTTGAAACAGGAACAGGATATGTTATTGGTTATTATGATAGTCCTATTACTGAAGAAGAAAATTTAAAAGCAACACTTCAATTAGCACGACATGTAACAGAAAGAGGATATTAAAATTAATTTACATTAATTTATATAATACAATTTTTTTCTTTGTTTATTTGTTTATTCGTTTATTTTTTTTTTCTTTCTTTTAATAAAAAAGAAATAAATATTCATTAAGAACTTTAAATATTCATTTCATATACATGAACTCAAGAAAATTACCATATTGTCCTGCACCTTCAAGTGTTAATAATCTTAACAATCCATATTCACCATATTCTACTTCATATCCTCCAAATAAAAATCAAACAATTTCATCTTCTATACCTTCAACTTTATCAAATGAAATAAATACAATAAATATTCACTCTGAATCACGTGGTAGTTTTAGTACTCCACAATCAATTTCAATGCAAAAGTTATTTACAAAAACTCCATATTATAATACTATTACTAATACAAATAGTTCATTAAAAAAGAATTTAACTTCACAACAACCAAGAAGTCCAATAAAAATAAGAGATGATAGAGAAGAACATGATAGACAAAGAGAAGAAATTTATAAACAATTACCAACTGAACAAAAAATTTTATCAGAAAAAAAACAAAATCAACGATGTGAAATATGTCAACAATTTGGAAAAATGACACATGTTTTTCATTCAATTATACCAAATCCAGAAGATTTTTGGAGAATATTAATTGATAATGGAAATAATATTGCAGAACATGAATTAACAGTACAATTTATATTACGAACAAATATTAGTATAAGTTCATTTGTTATTTCAGATGATAAAACAAAAAAAATAGAAATTAAAAATGAAAAAGAAAGAACGATATTAAAAAAAATATGTGATCCATATGCTATTAACATTAATGAATTAAAAAATAATATCGCTACTATTGAAAAAACTATATTTGTTAAAAAAATTATTCAAATAAATATTAAAACTATTAGAGAAATATTAGAAGAATCAATGAAAATAAATAATATTAATAAACAAAGACATTCAGTTGTTATTATTGATGATGATGATTTAATTGAAGAAACAGAAAAAATAAAACAAATAGAAACAAAAGAAATAGTAATGTTTATATTAGAATTATTTAATGAATTATCTATTGATTCATTTAATTCATTTTTAATTAATATGGAAGAAATTGAAGATAGAATTTGTAAAAAATATCATGTTAATTCATTTCATCAAATTAATAAAGAAGAATTTACTACATTTTGTGGAAAAAATATAATATTTCCATTTAATCAAAATTATAAAAAAAAAGTAATTCCAATTAAACTTCTTACAAGAGAAGTTCCAATAAAAGAAGAACCGTTAAGTATTGTTATTAATGAAATTAATAAATCACCTTATTTAATAAATTTATATGATAATTTATTATTACATTCTATTGATTTAGAAATGATTATTTCAACTTATAATTTTAATTCAAATATTTTTATTGAAATTAATAAAAATAATTTAATTAAATTACCAAATTGTAATTCTATTAATGTTGAAACTATTACAAATAAAAATATTAAGAATATTAATATTATTACTGGTATTTTTATTTCTCATTTATTTGATGAAAATGGTCCTAAAGAAGGTGCTTCTAAATATTTTCCAATTTTAATGAAAAGTTTTGATTTAAATGGTATTTCAATTAAAACAAAAATTAGTAGAGCATTATTTGTTGCATCTCTTTTAAATGAATTACCAATAGAATTTATTGGATTATATTTATTAGTTAAAACAATTCTTAATATATTTAATTTAACTTTAAATGAAATTATATCATTATCATTAAATAATATTTGTTTCTTAAAACTACCTATTTTAAATGAAATAAAACGATGTTTTCCAAATGAATTATTAACTATGAATACAATGAATATTGAAACATTTCCATATCAAATTAATAATTCAATTGAATATAATACTAATAGATTTGAATTTCCACTTCCAATTGAAATTATTATTGATTGTTATACAAATAATACTAATGAAGAAGTTAAAATTATTGATTTTCAAAATACTCTTTTATTAAATAAACTTCAAAATGAAGTTAAAAATAATAATATTGATTATCTCATGGCTTTCTTAATGTATTTAAATCAAAATCAAAAGGAAATTATTCATACTTTTCATACATTACAAGTTACTTCTTCTTCTATTGTTCAAACTAAAAATTATTCTTCTTTTTATACTTCTCTTAAAAATTTAAAATGGATTTATTCTTCTTTAAATTCATTTGAAACACCATTTTCAATTATTAATTCAAAACCAATTAATTTTTTAAATATTCCATGTACACCATTTTTAATTTCAGAACCATTAAATTCTTATATTGCAACTAAACCATTTCCATTACCTGAAAATATATTAAGTTGTTTATATCAAAGTATTAAAGGATATGACCAAAGTTATTTTGATTTTTTATCTGTAATTTCACAATTAGATATTAATTTATTTAATGAATATATTAAAAAGTCTATTATTTATTCTAAAATTACTAATAATATTACTCAAACTTATATTAATAAAGATCAAGTATGGTTTAAACCAAATGAAGTGTTTATTAAAGATAAATCTGGATTTTATCCTATTCTCTCTGTTAATAATAAATTTTATGATTTATTTAAATCTATTGGTGTGAAATATAAACCTTCTATTACTGATTATATTGATGCTTTAATTCAATTAAATCAATTACAAAATCAAATTTCATTTAATAAAAAATTAATAACAATTAAAAATGTTTTAAAAGAATTAATTAAACAAAGCGATAAGATTAATGTTACTTTAGCAATGATTGAAAAAATTAAATCATTAGATACTTTTATTAATCAAAATGAAAAATTAGTGTCTTCATTAACTGGATTATATTATGATGATTTATTATTTATTAAAGATTATTTCCCTTCTTCTGTTAAAGACCATTTATTAGACTTAAATCTTCCTTATAAATTAATTAAAAACAAAATATTTTTATTATTAAATATTAAAAATGCTCAAAGTGTAATTAAAATTAATTTTGATACTTCAATTTCTTCTTCAAATACTCTTACTTCTATCTTAAGAAAAGTTTTAAATAAGGTTCTTCCTTTAGTTAAATCAAGTCAACTCATTGAAAATTATAAATTGTATTTATCTTCTCTTGTTGTTTATTCTCATGGTACTTTAAATCCTACTTTTACATTTATTCCTACAAATTCAAGTATTACTCCAAAAGTAACTGCTGTAAGAGATGGAATTAATTTACATGTCTTAGATAGAACTTCTATTTGTTCTTATGAAGCTCTTACTATTTTATCTCATTTGTTTTTCCTTCAAAAAGATGAATCTTTCATTACTTTAATGCTGAAAGAACTTAGTCGTGCTTATCCTATTCAAATTGAATCTTCTTCTTTATCTGAAACTGGTCATATTAAAACTAATACTATTAATTGGAATGTTATTAAAGATGGAATTAAACAATCTAATTCAATTCTTAATGATGAAGAAATTGAAATTAAAGTTGAACCTTTTCAATTCATTCCAAATATTGAAAAAAGAATTCAAACAGGTGTTGCTGGTGAACAATTCATTTATCAATATTTAAAAAGAAAATTTGGAAATAAAGTTAGTTGGATTAATGAAAAAACTCCTTCTGTTGAATCTATTGAAAAAGGTTTACCTTATGACATTTTACTATTTAATGACTTAAATACTGTAGAAACTTATATAGAAGTTAAAACAACTCAATACAATGATAAAGATTTCTTTGAATTATCTTATCGTGAATGGTCTTTTGCTCAAGAACAACGTTCGCATTTTCATATTTATAGATTATCTGGATTTGGAACTGATACTTTAAAAATTAAAATTATTGTAGATCCTTATGGTAAGTGGTTAAAAGGAGAAGTTCATCTTAAATTTTACTTCTAAAGTTTTAATTATTATTTCTTATTATAGTAAAATTATTATTTTTTTTTATATCTTTCATTTTATTTTCTTTTTACCTTTTCTTATCATCATTAATTTCTTTTCCTTCATTTTGTCTGTTTGAGATTATTTCATTCATTCTCTTGTAAATCTTATTCATGAATTATTTTTATACCTCAATATTCTCCTCCATTTTCTCTACATTATTCTATTATATCTTTCATATTATTATTATTATTCATTATATCTTTTACAAGTATTTCATATTGAAGTATAATGTCTTGTTTTATTTTTATTATTGTCTATTTTATCATTCATGTAGTCCACCATTATTTCTTTTAATTTATTGAATAGATTTTAATAGTAATTCATTACTCTATTTCTTCTTATTTCTCGTATCTTTTACTTATTTCTTCATCAACTCTTCTTCATCTTTTAATTTATTTTATATATTCTTCTTTCTTCTACAATCTCTTTAACATAATTCATTATTATTCATTGATAATTATTATTTATACTGTTGACTATTGGATTAGATTTGCTAGAAAATGACTTAGTTAATAATATTCTTATTCTTCCAAACAACAATACAACAAATACATTATACTTCATTTCTCATAAGAACATTACTCTTCTTCAACATATTTTTCATTTTTATTTACTTCCTACATAGTTTTTTATCAAATGAATTTTTGTCTTTGTTTGATTTATTACTTTGTTTAATCAAATTAAATTATTTGAAGATAGTAATACAAAATTAATAACTATGGTTTAAAAAAAATATATCATTCAAGTAAATTTCTTTGTTAATATGAATATCACCATAATATTAAACCTCTATTTCTTGCTATACCCATTGTCCAAATATCTTTGTTATCTCAAAAAATGATAAGTGATTAAAACATATCATTTTCTTTTTTCAAAAAAAAAAAAATTTTTTTTTTCATTTTTCCTGACTTTTTATTGTAAATATTAACCAAATAATCAAATAAAATTAAATTTATAATTTCACCGTTCAATTCTTCTTTTTAATTTTTTTTCAAAAGAAACAATCTTAAAAAAATAAAACAACTCAAAAACGTTCTTGAACTAATTAATCAGAGAACAATAATGGCACCAAACTTGCTTCTTGAATCATAT